CCAGCCCGGCCCCGCCCCGCTCCAGCGCGCCCCGCGGCAGTGAGGCCCTGATTGGCTGCCGCACCCGCGCGGGGCCTGCTGGGAGCAGCGCCCGGGCCCCGCGCTCCTCCTGCGGCGGCGTTAGTGGCGGGCGGGATGCGCGGCCCGGCCCGGGCGGTGTCCCGAGCGGCTGTGCCAAATCGAAGCGGGCGGGTGTCGGAAGGCGCTCACCGCCGGCGGGGCCGGGGACGCCAAGCCCATCTTCCTGCGGCTCTCGCTGATCCCTGTTACAGAAAATCAAGGTGTTTTAATGCAAAATCCGAGGAGCGTGAGGGTCAAACTGTCATGTGGAGGTTTGCAGGCTTTCTGACACTTGGTGTTCTGCCAGTGAAGCGGCGCTGACAAAGAGCCGCCGTGCCGGCTGTCTGTTCCGCGGGCAGGCGCGGAGCCCCCCGAGGGGCACAGCAGAGGGCTGCTCTCACCGTGCCCTTCGTTCCTCTCGGCATGTGTGGAATATTCTTGGAGAGAAGCAGAACTCTGAATTCCTTTAAGTCCCATTACTGTAATAACTGTCCTCTATCGGCTTTCTTACTTCGCTGACACCCATCCCTTGCCTCATGCCGAGAGGACACAGGAAAAGAGAATAAATACTTTCTCTGCACTATCGTTCTGACATGCCTTGTTCAGAAGTTTTACCACTGCAGTACACAAGTGCATGTGCATAGATGTGGAAGAAAGTCCTTCAAAGTGCCTTGTAGCAAAAATTCCTATGTGAAAGCTGTACATCTTCAGCTGTCCCAGAAGTGTTGAACTTGTATGTAACAGTGCATCACAATACAGCCTATAAATGTTGGGGGTTTTCCAGTTTTGGTAGGTTGACCCTGGTTAGGAGGTAAACACCCACACAACCTCCAGTTCCTTCCCTCTCAGGAAGAAAGGGGAGACAGGAAAAGTCAGAGTTCATAGGTTGTGCTAAAGGAAAGTTTAATAAGTGAAAGAAAGAAAAAAAAAAAGTGAGTCAAGGGGCATAACTAACCACCTCCAACAAGCAGACTGATGCCCAGCAGGTCTTCCAGCAACTGATGATCCTGGAGAACAACCCACCCCACACACCTTCTTAATCTGAAATTCCAGTTTTACTGCTGAGCGTGACATTATGTGGTATGGAATATCCCCTTTTCTGTTTCCCTTCCCAAAATTCTTGCCTACACCCAGACTACTCTCCAAGGGAGCAGTGCATGAGAGAAGGTAAAGCCTCGGTGCTGTGCAAGTCCTGTTCTACAATGGCCAAAATGTTGCTGTGTCAGAAGTGCTGTTCTAGTCACAGAGTACGAAACACAGCAGCATATGGGCTGCTGTGAAGAAAATTGCTTCACCCCAGCCAGAACCTGTACATGAACTCAAAAAGAACAGGCAAAGCTTTTAGGCCAGGAGAGGACAAAAAAGATATCCCACCACCTGTCCGGGCAGCATAATCAGCCTCAAGCTGTAGAGCTGCTGAGTCTGATCATCTGCAAGCATTCATTCTTAGTCTGGACTTTGGGATGTTGATCCTTTTAGCTCACACCAGTGTTCAGTGTGACTCTTGGTGCTCTACATGATTACATTATCAGATATGTAGTAACTTTAGCTGTAAGTCATGTTTTAGAACTGGCTTCAAGACACTTCATCCAAATCAAAATAATGGTGGTCAATGGAGAGCCACTGACTCTACTGGAAATACTCTGCTATTGATTACAGAGGTCGCTTACATATACAACTTCATTTTTCTCACTGAGGCCTAGTCTGCTCCTTCCTTTCCAAGTGGAAAAAGACACTCAGTGACTGAGCCTCTCCTACTCTTCATGTTGCACTCTAGAGCCACTTCTACTTAAATCTCTGTAACAATGACTATCATTTTACTGAGAGGATATGTTTCTTTTTTGTTTCAGATCAATAGTCCACTTCTGACTTTGATACTTCAAAGTGGGATGTTGCTGGAGAGAGGCCGATTTAACTCTTCATTTTTAAGCTAACACATTGAAGTTTACTGATATCTTTTTCCATGGTCCAGCATCATATCCACTTAAAATAACTGCAAATAATGAAGATACCAAGTTTAAAGGCATTTGAAAATGCTGCAGGCAATATTAGTTTCTCCAAGAATCTGCTGCATTTTTTTTTCTTTTTTCTTTTTTCCAGAAATATCATAAATACTGTTAAGTCACAACAAAATTGATTCCTGGTTCAGTGCTGAACCAGAATTGTGAAGGACATCCCAAACTCTGCTTCTGTCCTTGGGGCCTTTTGCAGAGCTGGTTTTTATGCAGGCCTTTACCATGAAGTTCTACACATTGCTATTCAGTTACGGATCTCTGTAACTGGTAGTTTAAAAAAATATTGTTAGCTACCATTACTGAACCTTACATGCAGATAAGCCCCTCAGCTGGCTGATGTTATAAAACAGCATGCAGCTCCCTGTTTGCTTAAGCACCAAAATCTACCTAAAAAAAAAGAAATTATGCCCATGTAGCTGCTGAGGATACTAAAACTGAGTGTAAAAACATAACTTTGAATCAGCCAGCTTAAAATTTTCATTAATCTGGTTCAAAACTGCCCCCTACAGAGTATTTAAAACTCTTAAATAGATTCCCTTCAAAATCCTTCATTATCAGTGGGATTAGTGTTTAACCTGACTTTGCATAACCGCTCTAGCAGCAGAGTACATCTTCAGAATTTTCCTCAGCAGTTAGGAAATAGGCAGCATTTAGCTGTTTTATATGCAGAACTCTGAACAATCAACTTATTTTAAAAATCAAACAATAAGCTTCTTTTAAAAAAGAAACCCTAAAACTGCTATTGAGAAGAGTTTTTCCATGGTAACATTTGAATATTCTAAATAGGTATATGAATATTTGAATATTCTAAATAGGTATATGGGTCTGTACATCATTTGGAAAATGCTGTCTGGTTAAGAGATCTTACTTAGTGTTGCCAAATTGTGTTTACTCGAGGTTTTTTATTTAAAATTAACCCTTTTGGACTTCTCTGGCTGGTGAGGCCATGTGGATACTGGGGAATTTTAGATGGGGAAACAGAACCTTTGTTTACACTGTAAATGGAGATCTGATTGCAGCAAATGGAGGTATGTATATAGCCTGAAGCTCACGAATTTCACTACCTGTATCACTATGACTATAGTCTGTGCCATCTCACCATTTTTTCATGTCCCTGTTACTGGAAATTAGGTGCTGCTGTACATCACATTGCTCAGGATGAAACTGGGGTACTGTGCCCCACCTACTTGGTCTGCCTTGGCTGTTCTGTGCTCATTGCTGTACACCACAGGGGCCTCCTCAAGAACACACCTTCACTCCAGGCCACTTCCTTATGCCCTCTGGGCACCTCAGTGATTAAAGCAAGCCCAAGCTGTTAGGGACACAATCCAGGCTTTCCTCAGCTCTGCTCTCCAGCTGCAAAGCCACTCTACCACCACTGGTGGAATAAAGGTGGTGCCAGGTTTGGGTGGCTGCAGCATCCTGACATCCCATCCTCAGTGGAAAGTACCACAGCCAGTTGTGTTAATGGACACCAAAATTTAATCTGATCAACAATGGACCACATGTCTCAAGGTCTGGAATCTGTTTTCTCTGATTCTCAAGCACACAGAAGGAGTGATTGCTTGTATTTCATAGATGTCAAGCGCATAGTAACTGGCACATATTTTTGAATGTCCTATGTAATTGAGCTTTTGAAAAAATATAATTTTGTTTGTGTATATTTTATTTATAATATATTTGGAAAAGCAATATAGGAAGAAATTCTTTTTTACCAATGCAAGGAAATACGTATGCAATTCATACATATGTGTGAACCTACCTGTAGTAAAATATCCTCTACTTAGCTCTTAACTTATGTGACTGATTACAATG